TTTCCCTTCAGCATTGTACTATCATTTTTCGTAAATCAGGTAACTATACTTGTGTGATTTGTTTCTGGACTCAACTGTTTCACTGATTTACTGGCCATGTTTTCCTTACTGAGATACTGACATATTATATTAGTTTCAGGTGTACTACCTGTCATCTTTGATCTAATTCCTTTATGACTACTTTTCTTTGGGAAGGAATGGAGACAAGCTCTGATGTCATCTGTAACTTCTCATTTGGAAGTCCTTACGAACTCGCATTTTACTGTGTGAACTCAATTACGAAGAATTATCACCTGGCCCTCTGCACACAATCCCTATGTTTGCAGTGGGAACTACCAGTCATACAGATGTTTAGGAAAACAGGCCCATGTCTGTCCTGTTCACGCCTACCTTCAGTGCCGGACACAAGCAATGCCTGGTACCTAGCAGACAGTGTTTGCTGAGTGAACAATTATATTAAAGACTTTGGAGATAAGACAACAATTTAAAATGAAACTATGAATTTCTCTCGTTAATTATCTCTAATAACTTTTCTGTTATAATCAGGGATTTTGTTCTCTAAAGCATCTACTTCGACCAACCCGCACTGTCAACACCAGGAGGATGTGAGAAACAGTAGACATACCAGGAAGACGTCTGAGGTGAGAAATGAGGCAATTATAGATCTTCTGAAAAACAGGCAGTCTTGATCCTAACAATTAGAAGTTGAAGAACTACACGCTGAGCAAAAGCTCTGTCTGTGGCAAGTGATATGCTAAAATAAGCTTGCGGTAAAAGCTACGTCAGAGCCCTCACCTTGGGAATCCCCTACCCCACCCTTATCTGAGCCTCTTCCGCTGTATTCATGGACAACCTAACAGTAAAGCATGACAGGAAAGGACGTAAATCAATTTTAAAACAAATACAAAGTTTTGAAGATAAACCTGCTCATACCTTTATCTAATAAAGACTTCATAAAAAAAGAAAGTAAGGTCTACTTCATAATTTTGCAGAAGATTGCTACTGACAAGAAAAAAGAAAGAAAACTACTCTAAATAATAATCACAGAAAAGATTTATTCCGTTTCAACTAAGTTCAACTAGGGAAGAATTGACATTATTGCTTTAAGTACAATCAATTTCGTTATAGTTTCCTCTTAACAGAGGCCTGAGAACTGCAACTGAGAAAAGATTCCTCACCTGGTCACAGCATCCACGAAGAACGGCGCTGGGGGAGAGATGAGGGAGACCACACCCCTGTTGCCAGGCCTCTCCTTCCCGGCCGGCGAGAGCCCGCTGTCTCCTGCAAGCCCGTTAGGAAGGGCAGCACTCTGCTGAGGGAAACACGCGGGCCGTCTGAGCGGAGGTGACCACACCTGCCCCGCAGCCAGCACTCAGCCCCGCGTCATCTTCTCCAGTGATGATGGCAATGAGAAGGGTGATGTTCACCGGGACAGCTGCTTTGCTTTTCTACCATCCTTCACATCAGACTTATATTTTTGTTTTTGTCAGCACCCTTAAGTATTTACAAACAGAAAAATTAAACCTCTAGTTTGAAGCCAGTAGGTTCAATCAGTAGAGATTTGATGATGACCCCGTGTTTTCAAGGAAAAATAAGAACCTGGTATTCCTTCAGGCCTCATTCTGAAAGGGTAATGGAAAGAAAAATTGCAAATATCATTAACTTACTGGCACAATCCAACGGGGTGTGATCGTGGATATGGAAGATACCTGAAAAAAATTGTAGATGTATATTTATTTTTAGGGAAGACTGACTTATTTTCATAATTATACTCATAATGCTTTCTTCTACTATGAAATGCACTAGGGTGGGGGGCAGGGAGCAGGTCTTAATGGTGCCCTTGAGCTGACATGGACTTCTGAACCCAAGGTCCTTTTCTACAGCACACACGCCATGTGTCACCACTTAAGAAACTGTCATAATCTCGAGAATCTCTTTAACCTAAAAACTTACTACTCCCAGAATGCTACTAATGCTACTACTACTTTCAGGTCATTCACTAGGACTGTCCCCCACCCCTAGCATCCAATTTAAGATTTATTTTCTGAAACTTCATTTCAGTCCGTTACAAACAATCATAGCCTTCGTGGTAGCACGATGCACAGTGGACTGTGGCTAACTCATATGAAGACAAAAGAAAGCTCTGTCCAGCTACAGGCCATTTTCTAACTCTGCCTGGAGGAGAGAGCAATGAAAACACCCACGCTGCTCCTGACTCACAGGGCCTCTGCTATATTCTTTTTAAGGTTTAATTTTCTGTATCTTATTTCTGCATGTAGAATTGTAATCTAATGAACTCCCGACTCCCCACTATTCTGTGGAAGCTTAGACTAGTCCTTGCACTGGTGACAGATTCTGAAAAGAAAAAATTAATATAAGTCCAGGTTTTAGTAATCTAGGTAACCACCAAAAGAATAAAAATACAAAATATGACTTTCCCACCAATATTAAGAAAATGCACTTCTAACCACAGGAAATAAAAGAGAGAGAAAAAAGAAATATGGTAAAAGTAAACAAAAATGGTTTGGCAGAAACAAGTCCTATAATAACCATAATTACAGTGAATATAAATGGATTTAAACTCAATCAGAAGATACAGACTCTCGAATAAGATTTTAAAAGCAGGACCCAGCAAAACGCTGAAAGGTCCACTTAAAACCAACAGATACAAAAAGGTTGAAAATAAAAGGACAGAAAATTATACATAAGGTGATTCAAACTTAAAGCTAGGGTGTCAATTTTTTATCAGTCAAAAGGGAAATAAAGAGGGAAAAAAGGGCGAGGAAGGACACTTTAAAGTGCTAAAAGGAGCTCAGAAAGTATAATTACCATCAACATATATGCATCTCACAGCCTATCTTCAAAATATACAAAAAATCGGAAGATCCAGCAATAGGTAAGAAATGGATTAATCAATAACTGCAGACAGAGATACTAAAGACACCCCAGAAACTGACAGAATATTTGAGAGAATCAGCAGATTGACTACTGAAAGAATTCATCAAGTTTGCCAGACACAAAATTAACTTATGAATTCAATAGTAAAAAAATTAAATACCATTCACAATATCAACAAAACTATGAAGTATTTAGGAGTTAACCTAATGAAGAATAGAGAAGACTTACAGAGAACATTTTTAGAGACTCTCTATTTTCTGTTAGGTTAAACCCTAAATTCTTTAAATATAATGGGGGAAAAAAAATCTCAATAGCAAAAAAACATGAAGGACCTGGAAATAACAAAAATAGGAAATCATAAAACTTATATTGGGGAGACTGTAACTACAAAACTTCTAGGAGAAATAGGAAATCATGGATGAGAAAAACATATCGTACTCTTGGCTAAGACAAATTATCACAAATATATCAGTTCTTTCCACAAGTTAATTTATGAATTTAACGTAATTACAAGTAAAAATTCAAAGGCTTTCAGGGGGAGTGAGACTTGACAAAGTTATTCTAAAAATCATCTGAAAGAATTAACAAGCAAAAACAGCAAAACACCTGCATAATGATGCTGGACTGGCCTCAACATGTATCAAAATCACTTAAAAAGTTATTAGAGGGCTTCTTCCCTGGCAGCGCAGTGGTTAAGAATACGCCTGCCAATGCAGGGGACACGGGTTCGAGCCCTGGTCCAGGAGGATCCCACCTGCTGCAGAGCAACAAAGCCCGTGCACCACTATTGAGCCTGCGCTCTAGAGGCCGTGAGCCACAACTACTGAGCCCGCATGCCACAACTACTGAGCCTGCGCTCTAGAGCCCGCAAGCCACAGCTACTGAGCCTGTGCTCTAGGGCCCGTGTGCCACAACTACTGAGCCTGCATGCCACAACTACTGAAGCCCATGCGCCTAGAGCCCGTGCTCCACAAGAGAAGCCTCTGCAATGAGAAGCCCGCGCACCACAACCGAGAGTAGCCCCCGCTCACCGCAACTAGAGAAAGCCTGCGCGCAGCAGCCAAGACCCAACGCAGCCAAAAAAAAAATTATTAGAAGAGTATTACAGTTCTAACAACAGAAAAATCAGTAAGTGTAATAGAATAGATAGCTCATATGTAGAATCTAAAATGCATCATAGTCTACATTTTTATTTAAAACATTCTAAATTTGTAGGGAAGGAAAAATATATTAGTGATAAAAAAATGTCTTTAATCAAAATGATTTTCATCACTGTATTACCCCCACCTGTGAGACAGCATAAACAAGCAGTAAGTGTTCTGAGTTGGGCCTGAAGGACTCCTTCTCTGGGCTTCAGGCCACCTTGCATTGGCCTTAGAAGTCACCTCCTTCATCTGGTTAAAGGATTATTGCAGCCCGATATTGCCAACATCCCTTTTATTTTCTGCTTGCTCACCTGGTAAAGTCTCTTGTGATTATGGCCCTAAGCTGGTGGTTCCCGGCCCACACCCACATCACTGGGAACGTGTCAGAAATGCAGCTTCTTGGGCCCCAGCCCACATGCACCACATCCAAAAGCCCGAGAGTGGAGGCCAGCAATCTGTGCTTTCCTCTTTCCAGTAATGCAGACACACACCTGAGTGTGAGGGCTGGTGACCTACGCAAACATCAGGGGAAGGACTGCCCTCACTTGCTAGCCTTCGAGTGACCCCTACGGCAACTCCTGCCACGCCACTCACAAGGCACTAAATGCACTATCTGCGTACCTTTCACCCCAGTATGTCTCTGGAGGGAAGTGACTGCTTCCTCTTTGTATTATGGTCACAGTACTTAACACGGTATCTCCCAAACTCAAATAATGATCAGTATGTTTAACGCCAACCACTCTTATGCACCCAACTTTCTGTAAATATTTTTAACAACTGGAGGTCTTACTGTCTGAACTCTTCAGAAGCTGGTTTACCCCCACATGTCCCTCTCACACTACTTAACAGGGTGCTGAATTACAAAGAGGCTCGGCAACATGTGGTTGCTGTCCAGTAACACACAGATTCAAGTGGGCAGAACTTCGCTATAGAAAGGCAATGCTAGGTGGTTACCGAAATATAAACACTTACTAAATGAAAAGTTTTACTAAACTGCAGAAAAGGCAAGAACTGGAATCTACTGGGAACATTTTCAAACAGAAATACCTTTCCATCCTGCTGTTTTAAAGCCTATTTACCTGAGGTGTGGTTGTGTGGTCAACGAGATTCTCAGTTAGAGATAAAAGCAAGGCATCCAATTCATCTGTAGCATCCTACAGAATACAAGATACACGGATGTTAAATGACCCATTAGTCACCAGACTAGATTTTTTCCATATCCTCTCAAGGTATAATTTGGACCCAGGCCTGGATGGTGTTAACCTTTAAACGAAGGGGACCCTCAGGAATCATGATTATTAGTGATTCCACTTCTCTTTGGAGGGGAACCTAGACTACAGTCAGAACTTTAAAAAGCTAAAGTGTCATGTGAATTTTCATACAACTATTCCTTCTGGTGAGACAAAACTTGCGTAGGGTTAGGACCGTCCCGGCTCTCAGTTCTTAAACCAGATGGCAGAGGCTAAAGGTTCAGCTCAGGAGACGATGTCTAAGGACACGCCTGAACTTGCAACGCTTCTTTATCCACATGGATGCTTCACTGTTCACAAAGAGTATAATATAACCCGCCCCCCATAAATGTTAATACTTTTGGCTAATTAGTACTTGAAGCACCTTATAGAAACAGAGTTCTGTACTGCAGTGTGTGTGTGTTTCTGGGCACAGGAAGAATTTTAAAAGGATAACAGATAAAATTCCAGTCTGGAAATAAGAGAAGTAAGTATCCAGGGTGTAGTCCATAACAAAAAAAGGCCCTTCATTTATACATTTCTGCCTGTCTTCAGGCCACCGTGTGTTTCCTGTTCGATGTCAACTGAATTTTAATCGCACATATGAAAACCTGCCTGTCTCCTCCCACACCCCGTCCCCCTCCACCCCCTCATACCCTGTGACCTGAGTGGGCCCCCCGAGGCGGCCTGTGCATATCTCTACCACAACGTATCAAAATTCTCTCTCCAACTGTGCTGGAAGCAGTTTGAAAGAAGAGGCCATGTTTCACTCATTTTTGAATTTTCCAAGCCTATCACGCTGTCTGGTACAATATGCAATAAATCTTTGGGCTAACTGTCCTTCTCTGTTCCAAAAACATCTTGGGTCCCACCTAACAATTTTCAGTGATCAGACATGTCAGTGTATCTTTTTAGAATTTTAATTAGCAGAAAGGAATCTCCTGTTTAAAGGTATTTTAGGTTGAGTTTTTTTTGTTTTAAAAAACCCTAAGCCTGAAAAACCATACACCTGAATATTAACTACACACTGTCTTTGGGTAGTGGGAATCAGGTGATTTCTAATGTGTTGTTTTCATGAAATACTTGGTAAACTTCTACAATAAATGTGGTTACACTATAAAAGAACAAAATGGTAAATGTTCATCTACAAAAGTAAGTTTTTGTTTAACTTGCAAATTAAAGCGTTCACTGGGCATGAGCTGGGTCTCTGTGACTTGTGACTTGCTAAGGCTGTACGGCCGATGGACAGAGGAGAGGCAGAATTTGAGACAAGCTGGTTATGTTACAACACAATCAGTGTCAGAAAGTCAATTGTGATCCATCAATATTTATTTAGTGCCTGTTATGTGTCATGTACAATCTGAGACACTAGGGTAGCATAGCCCGAATCCAAAACCCCAAAACACCGAGACCCCCTAAAAACAAAACTACCAACAAATACCTCAAAAATGGAGAAGAAACCCCGAGCTGCTCTTGGGAGGGATGTGACAATAGGATTCTCCCTAGAGTGAGGCTCAACGCTCTTTTCACGGCTGACATTCTGGTGGCCGTCAGAGATCACCAGGTGTCCTGTACAACCAGGATTCAAGGCAAGGGAGTCTCTGTGGAGCAACCTTGAAAGTGGAAGGAATCGTTACCTTTAGAGCAGGCCCATTTTCTGCAGGCGTGGTTCGCATCGGAATGAGAGACCCTCCAGGGCCGGGCACGGCGTTCTCATTTAACTCAGCACTAGGAAGACAAAGGCAGGTTTGCGTCACAGACGACCGACGCAGGAGCAACAGGCAGCGTGCTGAAGGAGGAGGCTCGGGGAAGCAGGGTAACCGCCCCGCACAGAAGGAAGAGACAGCGGGAGGTGGGGGGCAGGCAGACAGTGGTCCACATGCTGCCGTGAACCCCTCCCCACCCATTGCATAACAGGTTCGCACCCAGGTCAGACCCGTTCACTACTGCTTTGCTTCCCTCCTGAAGCTCAATGAAATGACAGAAAAGATTTCTTTTTAACAAAAGAATAAACTCATAAAACTTCAGAACCAATAAAGGATGTCAGTGGTAGCTCAGGAGCTTTGAGGAAATGCCGAAAACCGTGAAACGCTCAGTACAAGAGGTGATTTCAGGGTTATGGGCAGATTAGATGCTACAGTCTGCTCCAAAGAGCAACCGATCTAGAGAAATCATGTAAAAGACTAGGCAGATACACAAAACAAGACAGACAGATACACGAAGAAGACAGATCAGGAACGGGACAGCTCAGTGACACGGAACAACTGAGGCGCGGAAAACGAGGCAGGAAGCCCCTGCAGGAGGCGGGTGGGAGCACACTCCACGGCACGGGGCAGTGGCCCACCTCCAGGGCTCCAGACGCGGCGGCGGGATCGGCCTGGGATAGGATGCCAGCGGGAAGGACAAGGACGTCAACCCCAGGTGAGGATCACAAGAACAGGCAGCCTCGACGCCAGGGAGGAGACGGGGAAGCCAAGAGACCACCACCCACCAGGATGGCACACCCGGTAGGGACCCCAGTCCTCTCCAGCATCACTGGAAAGCATGCAAGTGACAGGAGCAGTGCCCGTCCAATCCCACAGGGAGAGTGAGAAAAAACAAGAGGCAAATCCTAGATGGAAAAGTCAGCCTCGGGAGCTAGACGGAAGCTAGGACTACTGCAGCCACAGCACCGAGGCACACAGAGGCAGAGAGATGAAAAGTAAGAACGAACAGTCACGAGAGACAGAGATGGGATCAGGGCATTTCAGCTAATGTCTAATGGATACTGGATATTCACAAATATAAGGGCTTATGACTTTCCAGAACTAAAAAAAAAGACATAGGTCTTCAGATTGAAACACCACCTTGAATACTAACAAGAATGAAAAATAAAACTATACTTAGATGCACAGTAATCAAAATGCAGAATCTCAAGAATAAGCAGTGAAAAACCTAAAAGCTACCAGAGAGAAAAGATAACTTTGTGCTCCAAAGAAAAGAAACAGCTGAGACTAAAGAAGTGAGCCCTGAAAGGAGTGAAATACATTTCACAATGAAGTCTCCCAACCCCTCAACAAGAGATTAGTCCTGCTTTTCTACATGCTAATAACAAACTATCAGAAAGAGAAATCAAAAAAACAACCCTGTCTAAAACTGCATCAAAAAGAATAAAATACCTAGGAATAAACTTAACCAAGGAGGCAAAAGACCTATACTCTGAAAACATTGACAAGGAAATCTCAAGATGATACAAAGAAATGGAAAGATATCCCATGTTCATGTATTAGAAGAATTAATCTTGTTAAATGTCCATACTACCCAAAACAATCTACAGATTTAATGTAATCCCTATCAAGCTCCCTATCAGACATTTTTCACAGAACTGGAACAAATAATCGTAAAATTTATATGGAAACACAAAGGACCCCGACTGCCAAAGAAATCTTGAGAAAAAGAATAAAGCTGGAGGTATCACACTCCCTGACTTCAAACTATACCACAAAGCTACAGTAATCAAAACAGGCTGGTACTGGCACAAAAACAGGCACATAGATCAATGGAACAGAATAGAGAGCCCAGAGATAAACCCATGCACTTAGGGTCAATTAATCCACAACAAAGGAGGCAAGAATATACACTGGGGGAAAGACAGCCTCTTCAGTAAGTGGTTCTCGGAAAACTGGGTACCTACATGTAAAAGAATGAAATTAGAACACTTTCTCATACCATATACAAAAATAAACTCAAAATGGATAAAAGACCTAAATGTAAGACCAGAAACCATAAAACCAACAGAAGACAAAGGTAGAACACTCTTTGATACAAATCATAGCAATATCGTTTTTGGATCTGTCTCCTAAGGCAAAGGAAACAAAAGCAAAACTAAACAAATGGGGCCTAATTAACTTAAAGGCTTTTGCAGAGCAAAGGAAACCACTGAAAAAATGAAAAGATGGCCTACAGAATGGGCAAAAATGTTTGCAAATGATATGACCAGTAAGAGGTTAATATCTAAAATATATAAATAGTTCATATAACTCAATATTGAAATAATAAACAAACCAATTAAAAGTGGGCAGAAGACCTGGATAGGCATTTTTCCAAAGAACACATACAGATGGCCAATAGGCACATGAAAAGATGCTCAACATCACTCATCATCAGGGAGATGCAAATCAAAACAATGAGGTATCACCTCACACCTGTCAGAATGGCTATGGTCAAAAAGAGCAAAAATAACAAATGTTGGTGAGGATGTGGAGAAAAGGGAACCCTTGTGCTCTGTTGGTGGGAATATAAATTGGTGCAGCCACTATGGAAAAGAGTATGGAGGTTCCTCAAAAAACTAAAAATAGAATTACTATACAGTCGAGCAATTCTATTGTATTTCTGATATACATCCGGAGAAAGCAAAAATACTAATTCAAAAAGATACACGCTCCCCAATGTTTACAGCAGCATTATTTACAATAGCCAAGATACAAAAGCAACCTAAGTGTCCATCAAGATGAATGGATAAAGAAGATGTGGTGTATACATGCAGTGGAATATTACTCAGCCATAAAAAAGAAATTCTGCCATTTGCAACAACATGGATGGACCTAGAGGGTATTATGTTTACTGAAGTAAGTCAGACAGAGAAAGACAAATACTGTATGTTATCACTTATATGCGCAATCTAAAAAGTAAACAAACGAATATAACAAAACAGAAACAGATTCACAGATAAAGAGAACTAGGGGTTACCAGTGTGGGATGAGGGAAGTGGGGAGAGGCTAGATAGGGATAGGAAATCAATAAGTATAAACTAAGTACTATGTATAAAATAAATAGGCTACAAGGATATAAATATACCCAACTTATAATAAATTTAAGAATGGAGTATAATCTATAAAACTATTGAATCATTATATTATACACCTGAAACAAACATAATATTGTAAATCAATTATACTTCAATTTTAAAAAAAGAATCCTGAGGCCAAACCGGAAAAAAAAAAGGAGAAAAAAAGATTAGTCTTAATGTAGTTTACACTGCTGCAAAACACAGAAAGCAGATGAAAAATCCTTACAACATGTGTGTATAATGAAGACCATGCGCAATGTTAACTGGGAACAAACATTTGTCCATAAATTAAAAAATGAATATATGTGGCAACTGAAATGAAGAAACCATGGATAAGTTTTTAAAGATTCAGATGTATCAAAACAAAAGCGACTGAATCGTACACTGTAAATGTACAAATCCTCGTGTGGGAATGTTCAACAACAGCTATATTCACAGTAGCCAAAAAGCAGAAACAACACAAATGTCCATCCATTGACACATGGACATACGATGGAATATTACGCAGCCATGGAGTATCAATACAGGCTACAATATGGATGAACCTTGAAAACACTACGTCAAATGAAAAAAGCCAGACACATATTTGTATGAGTCCAGTTATATGAACTGTCCGAAGCAGGCAAATCTAGTGCAGGCAGAAAGTGGGTAGGTGGCTCCCAGGTGCCGGAGGAGCGACGTGGAGAGCCAGCGTATGCGGAGGGCGCTTCCGTTAGGGGTGAGGGGACAATATTATGGAATGAGAGAGTGGTTAGGGTTGCACAACTTTGTCAATTCACCAAAAAGCATTAAATTGCCTACTTTTAAAGGGTTATGTACAGGAATTACAGCTCAGAAAAAAGATAAAAGCAAAATGATCTAAATCTACTATAACAAAATATGAGGATATGACAAAGCTTGACATTTGGTACACAGACATGTATTATATAGTCTCCATACCTTTCTGTATGCCTGAAGTATTTGCTTTTAAAAAGGGGGTACAGCAACTTTTTAAAAGTGTGGTATGGCATGAGGAAAAAAACAGTACCAGAAAAGGAAAAGATCCAGAAACAGACCCAGGTTTGTATAAGAACATAAGCATATTTTAAAGGATCCATTTCAAATCCTGGGAGGAAAATAGATTATTCAAAATACCAACAGCCATTTGGAAAAACAAATCCGGAAGTTGGAGTCCATTCCAGGACCTGTCCACCTTCCAGAGTTCAGTGAAATTTCTGATAAACAACTGGGTCGTCACATCCCCATCATCCTCCTCTTGGCAAAAAAGTCTGTGATGAGGTTACTCTAAAAGGCTCCAATAAAAACAACAATAGCATTAAAAATGTTATGGGAAAACTGATTTCTTAGAAAAGGTTAAGTTGTAATTCCAGTTGTACCCCGATCACCAAGTAGTAGGTTTGCTGAGTACTAACTGTAAAGTCCTTTACATGAAGCATGTGCTTAAGTGCTATGTTAATTACAGCACCTGGAACTGAATATCACTAATCAGAAAACTCTTCACTGCATAAGTTCTGGATAACGGGAAAAGAAACACATTCACTCAACAATGTTTAGCACCAATTAAGCACAGAACACTGGATATGCAGGGACGAACGAAACAAACTGCCACAGAGCAGGGGATGGAAGTCTAGTAAGACAGAGACATGGCATAACACTCAACAAGAAAAGACAGGCAGACGGAACTCAGCGGGAACAGCAAAGAAATCTGCTTGCGTCATGTGAGAGCCCATAGTAAGACAGATTATAAGAGCAATCCCACCCTGCCAACAGCATGGCACTAAGGCAACTACCACACCTAAGAGAAATGGTACACATTCTTCACCAGGTATCTTATGAGATTAAAAATATCTTCAAAGGCTGTTTTTGCTCTACAGTTTGAATCAGCTGAGGAAGAATCAGGATGAAAAGATTAATTAGGAGTATCTTCAAATGATCTAAAATTAGGTCCTAAGAAGCTATGTAGTGCATAGAAGAGTGATTTCAGGCTATCTTTCAAATAGATATCCTGAAACCATGTGATCACAGAGTGGGAAAGAGGAAAAAAAAAAAACACCCCCCAAAGAAAGTTAAGAGGAAAAGAGCATCAATTTAATTCAGTCTACCCATAACTGTACCTGTTGGTGGCAGCATCCTGAACACTGGCATTTTTATGACTTAATAAGTTATCTTCTCTTGTAACCTAAGAAAAAGAAATCATAAAAATTAAATCTCCTCAATACATTGTAATAACCTATATGGGAACAGAATCTAGAAAAGAGTGGATATATTAACTGATTCACTCTGCTGTATAGCAGAAACTAACACAACATTGTAAATCAACTATACTCCAATAAAAATTAATTAAAAAAAATTAAATCTCTCTTGTGGCTAATAAAGTAATAGATTTACATTCCTTTCCAGTAAAAATAGAAATAATCTGTTTGCTTCAGTTCCAGAAAGAGGTAACCATACCTTATCTATGGAAATATCAGTACTGTACCCAGCACAACCCTATCCCATGCCCAAATTCATACTCCAAGTTTCCACTTCAATATGTTGGTCTATGAATCCATATGCTTTACTGGACAGCTCTAAATTATTTAAGACACAATGATATGTTAGTCAATGTACACAGAATCCAAAAAGATTCAATGCCAGAATTTTTCAAATTTACATGATAAAAAGCAGAAACAGATGTTAAGCTGCATATCTGGCTTTTTGTTTTTCCCTGAGTACAAGGAATATTTCAGAGGAGAATTCTTAAGAGGTCAGTTATTGAGGTATCATTTACATACAGTAAAATGCACACATTTTAAATGTACGGTTTGGTACATAATCAACACTACAATCAACATATGTAACACTTTCACCACCCCAAATGTTCCCTTGAGGCTTCTGATACAATCCCACCCAAAACCCATACACGTGGCCAGCAGTGATCTGTGCTTTCCATAATTTCATATAAATGGAATCATAACATCCTTTTGTGGCTCCCTCTTTAGAGTAACAGGATGTTTTTGAGGTTCACCCATGGTGTTGCATGTGTCACTAACGCATTCCTTTTTTGCGTGCTGAGTAGCTTTCCACTGTATGGATGCACCCCAATTTGTTTATCTGTTCACTTGTTGATGGACATTTGGATTGTTTCTAGTTTTTACCTATTACAAACAAAGGTGCCAGGAACATTCATGTACTAATACCTGTGTGAACCTACACTCTTATTTCTCTTGAGTAAATACCTAAGAGTGGGGCTGCTGGGTCATATGCTAAGTGTACGTTTAATATTTTACCAACTCTTTTTTTCAAAATTAATTTATTAATTTTTGGCTGTGTTGGGTCTTTGTTGCTGCGCGCAGGCTTTCTCTAGTTGCGTAGAGCCGGGGCTGTTCTTTGTTGTGGAGCACGGGCTCTAGGTTGTGGCACGGGCTCAGTAGTTGTGGCACACGGGCTTCAGCAGTTGTGGCTCATGGGCTCTAGAGTGCAGGCTCAGTAGTTGTGGCACACGGGCTTAGTAGCTCAACCACATGTGGGAACTTCCGAGACCAGGGATCGAACCTGTGTCCCCTGCATTGGCAGGTGGACTCTCAACCACTGCACCACCAGGGGAAGCCCTTACCAGCTCTTTTATAAAGTACTTGGAACATTTTATGTTCTTACCAGCTGCGTGCATTGCAGGCAGTCCATCACTGCCCACACAGGCATGTCAGTTGTTAACTTTAGCTATGAATTACAATGTTAGCTGTAGACTTTTTTCATAGATACCCTTTATCAGGCTGAAGTTCCATTCTACTACTAGTTTGCTGTGAGCTTTTATCATGAACAAGTGTTAAATAATGTGAAATGCCTTTTCCAAATAAATTGAGACAATTTTCCTTATTTTTTTTTTTTTTTTTTTTTTTTTTTTTTTTTGCGATACGCGGGCCTCTCACTGTTGTGGCCTCTCCCGTTGCGGAGCACGGGCTCCGGACGCGCAGGCCCAGCGGCCATGGCTCACGGGCCCAGCCGCTCCGCGGCATGTGGGATCTTCCCAGACCGGGGCACGAACCCGTGTCCCCTGCATCGGCAGGCGGACTCTCAACCACTGCGCCACCAGGGAAGCCCTCCTTATTTTTTAATATGTTGTACTACACTGGTTTTTGAACGATAAACCAACTTTTTTCCTGAGATAAACCCTACTTGGCCATGGTGTACTATCCTGTTTATAAGCTGTTCAGTATGATTTGCTTCCACTTTGTTAAGGGCTTTCAAGTCCATGTTCAAGAACAGTCCTGGTCTGTAGCTGCTTTTCTTGTACTCTCCTTCTCTGGCTTTGGTGTTAGGCTAAGACTAGCCTCATAAAACGAGTTGGGAAGTGCTCCCTGCTCTTCTAATTCCTGAAAGAGCTTGTGTAGGACCGTCATTACTTCTGCCTTAGATGTTCAGTAGGCCTAAACAATGAAGGTGTCTGGTCCTGAATTTGTCTTTGTGGGATGATTTTAACTATAAAACAAAATCTTTCATTTAGGGCTATTCAAGTTATTTCTCTCTTGTTCAAGTCAAAACAGATCCAAAGTACAACTGAAACGTAAGGTGATGAAAAACTGTCACCACCACTGCTGCTACAATAGGCAGTGTCAACATCGGGATCAACACTTACTAAACACTAATTCTGTGCCAGAAGCCATTCTGTGGCCTTTACCTTTATCATTTTATTTCATCCTTATAACCCACCTTCGGGAAGGTATTACCATTATCCCTTTTTAAACATAATTAAACTGAGGCTCAGGGAAATTAACTAACTCGCCAAGTCACAAAGCTAATCGGTGACTAGCTACTAGTAGATTAGAAACAGGATTCAAACTCCAGTTGTCTGATTCCAGAGCGTGTACTGCCGTATTTTACATGTAAATATTACGTTTTATGTTTACACTGGGGTGAGAAGGTACATAAAGTGCATGAACGACATTCCTCAAGTCCTCTCAGCTCTCTTCAAGGCCTGTGCCTGGGAACACAATGGGTAAAGAGCCCCTTCTCAACAACAGGATTATTTTGAAATCCTAGTTGACAACCGGACTTGGTGAGACAGGCTTCTGTCCTGCTTCAGTGCAGAGGATAACCTGAAAGTTGGGGAGGGCCGAGGAAAAGCTGATTTTGAGAGCATGGACGCCATCAACTTCATGGGGGCTGGTCCCTACCCACTGCACCCTTCATGAGACGACACAGCCAACTCTTCGCCTTATAACCATCACTCTGTTGCCAATAACATCACAATTTTGCTGAATTGGGGGTAGATGGGTGGTGGGGAACAATGAATTGATAAAGAAAGACCTAAAGTCATAGACTTAATATTGACAGGAACCTAAAAATCACTATAGAGTTTCCAGCTATAAAAGTGACAAAGATTAGGGACTCACTTCTACAGGAATTTGACTTTTTTTTTTAACTTCTTATACTGCAGAGCAGCATCTTTACTCTTTTTATCCTGTGACTCCCCCCTCTTAATCTTGCCTAAGTAGAATTTGGAGTTGGGAAGGCATGTGCCATCTCTTTTTGGCCGCACTGCGCTGCACGTGGGATCTCAGTGCCCTGACCAGGGATGGAAGCTGCACCCTCTGCGGTGGAGGTGCAGAGTCCTGACCACTGGGCCGCCAGGCAAGTTCCGGCATTGCCGTCTTGAGTGTGCCTCCTGGTACTACTCTCTCTGCCATCAGCGGCCGAGTCACTCACGTCTACTGTTCGTATACTTTCTTTGCTCTACAGGGTCCCCTCCCACCTCGCCAGGACCCTATAGTAAAGGCAGCTCACCTTCGGCACTGCTTCTGCATGAGCCTTCAGAATGTTACTCTTCATGTCAGGAGGAACTCTCCTGGCGTTCAGTGCGGGGCTGTCAATGGCATTATTCAGACATTTCTCAGTTAACTTCACCACTTCCTCCTAGACATTAAAAATATACTGTAAGCAACTCTGAGAGCATATAACTCAATGGAAACAGAAAAGGACTGATGAAATTTCATATTCAGACAATCAGGGAATCATGTGTCTCAGGCAGCCATATCCTACTCCAGGAAAAGTCGACTCTTACATGGGGTTTCAAACTGAGGCACAGTAATCACAAACAAGAACTATGACTTGGCAGGGACCCCTGGAAATCGTCTAGCCCAATTTCCTGTCTTTAAGCAACTGAATAACTAACGATACCACCCTGGACAAATGCCTGAAATAAACCACAAAATGTGTGCCTTTTGCTGTAATTAATTTCAATTGGATTTTAGGTCAGGCCCTACGCAGGCTAAACCCTGTGGTTCTGGAACTGTCACCAGGTAGATGACTGTGTTTGAGATTATGTTACATGGCCAGAAAGAGGTCACTATCAGGTAGAGACTTAACGAAAATGATAAAATAAAGCCCAAGTCCACTGAATGAAGATCATAATTGAAACAATATAAATTAACTATTATGAAAAGAAATGGGAGAAAGCAAATTAATAAGTTTAAATTATCTGCACTACAACTGATATTTTACCTGACTTGAATGCCAATCAATAATAACAACAACTACCATTATCATTACTATGGTTACCATTTAACACTGGGCTAAATAACAAACTAACTCTAAATACTTTCTTCGTCTCAGATACAGCTTTTGTTCTATAGAACAGGCTAGCTGCCACGTATGGGATTACATACTGCCCCGCTCTTTCAGGTTTGAAAATATTTAACTAATGTGCTTATTCTAATCTGTTTTTTCTAAGTGTGGTCTCCACACATCTGCCTCTGGGTGGGATCCCAAAATGTGAATGTTTAACAAGCTTCCCTGTGTGATTCTGATACCTATAAACGTTTGAGAATCACTACTTTGCACTAGACTGTAACTTCCTAGTCTTTTTTATTTTTTATTTTGCAGTACGCGGGCCTCTCACCGTTGTGGCCTCTCCCATTGTGGAGCACAGGCTCTGGACGCGCAGGCTCAGCGGCCATGGCTCACGGGCCCAGCCGCTCCGTGGCATGTGGGATCCTCCCACATTGGGGCACGAACTCACGTCCCCTGCATCGGCAGGCGGACTCCCAACCACCGCGCCACCAGAGAAGCCCTAACTTCCTAGTCTTCAGAGTGGTTCCCAGCAAGTGAAAGAAGACCTGATGCCCTTTCTCAACCATGCCTACTTCACACCAGATGACCCAGCAAGCCCACCTCTGGGCTTACATCCAAAGGAAACAAAATCACTATCCCAAATAGATCTGCATCCCGATGTGCACTGCAGCCACGACATGGAAACAACCGGAGGGCCCGTCAACAGGTGATGAAGAGGATGTAAAATACACACACACACACACACACACACACACACACACACACACACATAAATACACACACACAAGGAAATACTGTTCAGCCTTTAAAAAGAAGGAAATTCCACCATTTTCAACAACACAGATGAAGCTGGAGGCCTCGTGCCAAGTGAACCAAGCCAGATAGAGAACAACAAATATTGCACAGCACTACTCAGCAATGTGGGACCTAAAAAAAAATTCCAAATCAGAAACAGAGAGCAGAATGGTTGCCAGGGACTAGGGGGTGGGATAGCAGAGGGAGGTTGGTACAAGTTATCAGATGAATAAATCCCGAGGACCCAATGTACAGCATGGTGACTACACTTAATTATACTGTTTTTTACACTTGAAATTTGCTGAGAGTGTAGATCTCAAGTGCTCTCACCAAAAAAAACAAAACAAAAAGGTAACTTATGTGAGGTGACAGATATGTCAACTAATTGGAGAGCAGGAATCACTTCACAATGTATACTTACACCAAATCATCAAGGTGTACACTTTAAAGGTATTTAAATTTTATTTGTCAATTACACCTCAGTAAAGCTGGAAAAGTATCATGGTTAGTTCAAATGCTTTGACATTTTCTTTTCAGAGACAATTACATTGCAGACTTGAGATTATTTGCTAATCATTTATATTTGCACATCACAGGATTCTCAGAGCAACCTGCCTCTGATATAGGCAAGTATTTATTTTCCTGCCTATATTAAACACAAAAACAAGAAAACACACGTATCACAGGTAAAAGTACCCATGACTGTTACCATCTTTCTGGAAGGCAATTTTGCAAAAGTACCAAAGGCTTTAAAATTATTCCTGAAATTTGACCTAACACTGTGCCGTACCATGCGGCTTGCAGGATCTTAGTTCCCAGACCAGGGACTGAACCTGGCCCAGACAGTGAAAGTGCAGAGTCCTAACCACTGGACCACCAGGGAAGTCCCAAACCTAACACTTCTACTCCCCAGTAAAATAATCAAAGATGATGGCAGATACTTACTTATAAGACTATCAGAGCACTGATTATGACAGTGAAAATCAGCAACAATCTAAATGACTAATAAATAGGAGACTGAGTAAATGCAGTGATGACATATGCATGCCATTCAACTATTACCGGTAATATGTTATTGAAATAAAGAGAGTTATAATGGATTGGTTATAAAAAAGTGTTAGTGTTGGGCTTCCCTGGTGGCGCAGTGGTTGAGAGTCCGCCTGCCGATGCAGGGGATGCGGGTTCGTGCCCCGGTCTGGGAAGATCCCACATGCCGCGGAGCGGCTGGGCCCGTGAGCCATGGCCGCTGAGCCTGCGCGTCCGGAGCCTGTGCTCCGCAATGGGAGAGGCCACAACAGTGAGAGGCCCGCATACCGCAAAAAAAAAAAAAAAAAAAAAAAAAAAAAAAGTGTTAGTGCATTTTTATTTAAAAAAATATATATATATCACATTTCAAGGTTTGGTTTAAAATGTTAACCATAGTTACCTCTTGGTACTGGGATAACGGAGGTTAGATAATGTCTTGCTTTTTAAAATCTGTATATTGTGTTACTATGCTGCTGATATGTCTGCCTCGGATGGCCAAAATGTGCAAAGAGAAGACCGAAAGAACTAAAAAGACACGCTGATTCCTAAACACCCCAAATTAGACCTGTTCTAACGTGACTGGACGCTCAAACTCTCCTGTAGAGCCGTCCTTGCTGCCATCAGTCAGCTTAGTTAGGAGCTTAAGTCGGGTTAAAGTCATCCAAAGTCTGCTTCAGTTTGTTACCAAGCAAGGGGTCGTGTGCTCGCAGCACAGAAAGCCAAACTCTGACAGTGGGTGTTTGCAGCAAAGTAGGGTGCCAAGCAAGGAGAACAGGCAGATCATGTGCAAAAGACCTGAACTCCCCGACGGCTTTCAAGCAAGGGTCTTTAAAGACATTGTTAGGGGAGAGGGTCCAGGATACGTGATCAACCTGTGGACCTTCTTCTGATTGGTTGGTGGTAAAAAGGGTGATGACTCGGGAACCTCAACCTTCTGGTTCCAACCAGTCTCGGGTCGACATGCTTGCGGTCAGCATGTCGTCACCATCCCGCAGAGGGTGGGGGTCTCAGCTTCTGCAGAACAGCTCAGAGATACGCAGCAGACGGTTATCCACATCCCTTCAGGAGGAGCTAAGAGCCCTGTGACTCTACTGTCCTAATCATTAACTGCTTGAGTCAGCTCTCTGGAACTCAGGGAAGGCCCAGGAGGCTACAGTCTGTTTCCTACAAACAAGAAATGGGGGACATGGAGAGGCTTTTTGTTCCCGGGAGGGCCCCACGGGGTCCTGCTTGGTTTCAGTCCCCCCTTTTCTTTGATCTTCCTCAATCCTGAGGGGAACAGGGGCAGGACAAGAAAGGGAATGAAGTTTTTGGATAGAGAGATTAATCATAAACTCAGCAGGGCCACTCAGTGTTTGAAGTTCTCAACCGGAATGCCATCAGATCTAAACTCAAAACCACTCTTGAGGGCTTCCCTGGTGGTGCAGTGGTTGAGAGTCCGCCTGCCGATGCAGGGGACACGGGTTCGTGCCCCTGTCCAGGAAGATCCCACATGCCGCGGAGCGGCTGGGCCCGTGAGCCATAGCCGCTGAGCCTGCGTGTCTGGAGCCTGTGCTCCACAGTGGGAGAGGCTGCGACAGTGTGAGGCCCGCGTACCGCAAAAAACAAAACAAAACAAAAAAACCACTCTTGAAACAATCCTGGCTAGAAGAGAAGTCTTATTTCTGAGAGCTCCTTCTTTAAACGGCTCAGAAAAACTGAAACTGTTTAATTGAAAAAAAATTATATAAGCCTTTAACTAAAGTGAAGTTCTTTTTAGTTCTAACCTTGGAGAGACGCAAAGAGTTATGTTAAGGTTGGTATGGTTCACTCTTTTTGAGAGTTTAATAAAATTTGGACCCGCTTTCCAGAAAAACGTATAAGTGAATCAAAGACAAGAACATGTATTCAATTTTCATAGGGTTTAAGGCACTCCTTATAATGATTCATGGGCAGATCCATGATTTGCAAGAATCTTGCTTTAGAAGAATACATACAATTTGCCTTGTATTTTACCTAAATATACACAGAAGTTTTAACCACTTTATAAACTTTCTTCCCCCTCAACTGCTGAATGTATCTAAATGAAGCCAGAAGAGTCCCTGAGATCATGATAAAAGAGATGTGAACTTTTAGAGCTAGCTTACCATATAAACTAAAATACGCTAAGATACCAACAGCTTAACAGCCTGATTTCCAGACTTAAAAATTATTCTTTAAAAAACTGGCACCTGGGACTTCCCTGGTGGTCCAGTGGTTAAGACTGTGCTTCCACTGCAGGGGGCGTGGGTTCTATCCCTTGGTTGAGGAACTATGATCCCACATGCTGCCCCAAAAAATAAAAATTAAAAATTTTTTAAATTAAAAATATAAAAAACCTGCACCAACAATATTAGTATAATATTAGTAACTATTCTTTAAGCTGAAAACGTCAAGAGGTAGCAGAATACGCCATCCCCAAATATGCCACTTTGGGGCATATTATTTTGAGCTGAAGGCAATTGAGAAGAAGCAGATAGAAGAAACGCTCTGTCCTTACCCTA